TTGCCGGTTATATCTCGGTTTTAATTTTTTGACTTCTTTGGAGTATTTTACTTTCCTTTGTAATCTGTCTTCGCATTTTTATGCTTTGCATTGCATATCCCTTTAATAACTTAGACGCATCTACCTAAGTATTTAAGGTTCGTCTTCTTTCTAGGTTGCCTGAAGTATTTATTATATACTTCTCAGGTCTTAGCATTGTCTTTATTCGATAAACAGATTTGCCTATCCATTATCTAGGTTTATAACTTAGAAAATTTTCCAAGTGTTCTTAAACCATAGTCGTGTTGCTCTCCATCCGACATGGGTTATTCTTAACAACTCGAATGTACTTTCATTTTTGCAACTCATACATTTTACGAGTGCCTGTATACTGACCTGGCCGAGGTCAAAATTTTTATGGATTTTGTTTTCTGTCATTTTCTATGATGGATGTTTATTTTGACTTAACCATTTTAGCAAGCCTGCATTGATGATGGTAATCGTCTTTGCTGACTGAACCCTTTCATCATAACCTGAGTTCTGTAACCCGGCTTTATCCAAGGTAAGGCAATATTGTCATTTGTACCCCTTAGGTCCTTAGACCGAGGTAAGGAGCATTTCGACTTGATCAGAGTCAGTATGACAAATTGCACTTGCACCTCAGGACGTGTATTGATGCATCAAAACTGAATAAGAATAAATCTTAAAAAAGAAAAATTCCTCATTTATTGATATCAAATTTGTCGATTACATGAATTTGCCGGCATATCCGGCTTTAGTCAAGTCCCTAAAAGAGAAAAATAATTCGCCTAAACTTCAAATCTTCAGAAGGTGGATCCTGGATTTAGCTATAATATATTTTCAGCTTATCTGCGCTCCAGGTTTTCTTGATTCCTTTGCCTTCTGTTGTTTCCAGGATATAGGCTCCTCTTCCAAGCTTTTCTTTAACTTGGTAAGGACTTTCCCAATCTGCAGCTAGCTTTCCATCTCTGACATTTTTGTTGCCAATGTCTGCTCTTCTGAGTACCAAGTCATTTTTCTCAAACACTCTTAGTCTCACTTTTTTGTTGTATTTGGCTACTATTAGTTGTTTGGCTATCATATCCCGGCAATGAGCTATGACTCTGGCTTCATCTACGAGATCCAACTCAGCAGTAAGCAGTTTACTGTTTTCTTGTTCATTTTGCTTAATAACATTCATTCTCCTCCAAGAGGGTTCTCCAATTTCTACCGGGATCATGGCTTCACACCCATATGTCAATCTGAAATGGGTTTCCCCCGTTGCTGTCTGGGTACTTGTTCGGTATGCCCACAAGACAAAGTATAATTGATGAACCCAGCTTTCTCTGGCATCCATCATTCCTTTCTTGAGCCCATCAACAATTACCTTGTTTGCAGCTTCAGCTTGCTCATTTTTCTGTGGGTGTTCCACAGATGCGAAGTAGTGTTTGACCTTCAAGTCTTTCATTAACTCCTGGAACCGTTTATCAGCAAACTATGTTCCATTATCAGTCACCACCATGGCCGGTATTCCAAACCTGGAAACAATGTTCCTTTCAAATAACCTTTGTACCCTCGCTGAGGTTATCGTGGTAACCAGTTCTGCTTCTATCCACTTGGTGAAGTAGTCTACGGCCACAGTTAGCCACTTCAACTGTCCTTCTGCAGCTTTGAAGGGTCCCAGCAAATCCATCCTCCATTTCAAAAAGGGTCATGGAGCCGAGATGTATTTCAATTCTTCCGGTGGTGAAAGAATTAGCTTAGCATGCTTCTGATAACTTTCGCATCTTTTGACATGTTCTTTGGAATCTGCTTCCTTAGTCGGCCAATAATAGCCAGCTCGGAGGGCCTTTCTAGCCAAAGCTTTACCCCCTGTGTGGTGGCCATTTACTCCTTCATGTATCTCGGTCAGCACATATTCTGCCTCTTCCGAGTTCAAGCATTTCAGCATAGGGATATACAACCCCTTTCTATACAGCTGATCTTCCACTATTGCATATTGTGTCACATCTCGGACCAGCTTCCTGGACTCCAATGGGTCCTCAGGCAATGCCCCTTTCTCAAGGTATGCCACTATAGGTTGCCTCCAGTCATTTACCGAGGTGATTATCATCACGCAACTCGGCTCTGTCTGTTCTGCTCTGCTGTGCCACGGTTCTGTGGTTTCCTAGATTTTTTATACTTGCCAATTTAAACAAGATGTCAGCTCAGCTATTTTCCCCTCGAGGAATATGAGTGACTTTCACCTTTTCAAATTCGGCCATCATTTCTCGGACCTTGTTTAGGTATTTCATCAGCAGAGGAACTTTGGCCTGATATTTTCCTTATATATGAGAAGTCACCAACTGGGAGTCACTGAAGACTTTAACCCTTTTAGCCCCATGTTCCTCAGCCTACGTCAACCCGGCTATTAGGGCTTCATATTCTGCTTGGTTCTTGGAAGTTGGGAAACCCAGGTTTAAGGAGTGTTCTATTGCCACCCCTTCTAGACTTTCAAGTATAATCCCAGCTCCACTTCATTTATCATTGGAGGATCCATCTATATATACCCTCCAAGTATCTTCAACTTCTCCCATTTCTGGGCTAACTGGGGTGAGCTCCATTACGAAATCGGCCAAAGCTTGTGATTTGATGGCCTTCCTACTTTCATACATTATTTCATATTCAGAGAGTTCAATTGCCCAGTTAGTCATTCTTCATGCAAGATCTGGCTTATGCAACACCTGCCGTATGGGCTGATTAGTGTGAACTATTATCTGGTGTCCCTGAAAGTATGGCCGCAACCTCCTCGCCGTAATCAACAAGGCAAAAGCCATTTTTTTCCAACTTCTGGTACCTCAACTCAGGACCTTGCTAGTCCCTACTGACAAAGTAAATTGGTTCCTGACCTTTGCTGGTTTCCTTGATAAGAACAACACTTATTGCCTCCTCCCCCACAACCAGGTATATGATCAGGGTATCTCCTGGTTCTGGCATACACAACACTAGTGGGGTTGCCAAGCATTTCTTAACCTTGTCAAACGCAGATTGACATTCTGGGTTCCAGCCTTGCACAACTTTTTTCTTTAATAATTTGAAGAATGAGAGGGCATTCTCAGCTGACTTGGGCAAGAACCGAGTTAGCGCAGCCAGCCTACCAGTCAATTGCTGAACCTCCTTCTTGCTTTGAGGAGCTTTCATATCTAGCACGGCTTTGCATTTGTCGGGGTTTGCTTCAATTTCCCTATGGGTTAGCATAAAACCCAAAAATTTTCCTGCTGGAACTCTAAATGCACATTTTATCGGGTTCAGCCGAATACGGTATTTCCTAAGCTTTTGGAATGTCTGCTCTAGATCTCGGACATGATTCGTCATATCGAATGACTTAACAATCATATCATCAATGTATACTTCTACATTCTTGCCCAATTGATCCTCGAACACTTTGTTCATCATTCTCTAGTACGTAGCCCTAGAGTTTCTGAGCCCAAATGACATTACGTTGTAGTAGTAATTGGCCTTTTCAGCAATAATATTGTATTCCAACGGGAAATCAGCCACTATGAATCTTACTCGTTCTGATTTGAACTCTTCCTTTGTTCCCAAGGTTAACCTGAGATCTACATAGCCTTTAGGAGGTGTATTTTCTCCATTAAAAGCTATCAAGGTTATCTTGCAGGGTTTGAGATCCTCCTCATGAAGATTCATCTTTTTGAAGGCCCCCCAAAGTATAATGTCGGCACTGCTTCCTGTATCTATGAAGATCTTTTTAACCCGAAAATTCACCAAGGTTCCGATGACGACCATACCATCTATGTGCTCTGGCACAACACCTTGCATATCTTCGTTAGTGAAATAGAGCAGAGGAGGGTATGATTTATTGGGATCTTCCTTAAATTTAGGACGATCCCAGATCGACAGCACTTCTTTTAGGTACTTTTGCCTAGCACTTACAATGTCTCCTCCTTCTCCCAAAGCTCCACTGATCACATTACAATCAAATTTGGCTTTCGAGAATTCATCGTTATTGAAATCATCCTTTTGGTTCCTTTCCTCTTTCTTTTTCTTCTCAGGGACCAGACTCTTACTCCTGTTCCTGTTTCCAGACTTTCTTTTGTTGTTTTTGGCACCCTGAGTTTTGATCACATACTGGCGTAGTTTTTCTTCTCTAACAAATTTCTCCACAACATCTCAGAGATCCCAGCATTGATTAGTGTTGTGACCCGGTCCATTATGAAAGGAGCAGTATTTGGACTTATCCAAACCTCCTCTATCGAATATAGGTTGAGGTCTATCTACTTTCTTCATCTTCGTCATTGCCATTTCCTTCCAAATTTGAGAGCGTGAGGCATTCAACGGTGTATACTTCTCATATCTTCCAACCTGGTCTTATCATCCAGGATCCTGCTTCTGGAATCTTTCTTTTTATTACCGGGTCGATCTTTTTCTCTTGGGGTCGGGCTCCTCCTTCTTGGACTTGCTCTTTTACCCTATTCTGATAGCGCATTTGCTATCTCCATTTATTCGAGTTCCAAGTATTTCTTGGAACGAGTTCTAAACTCCTCCAACGTCCAACGTTCTAAACTCCTCCTGGAAAGGAGCATTCAATATTTCACAAGTAAATGGGCTGTTATTATACTGCCCCCTACTATATTTCCTCCTGTACCCACCGAGTTCAACGCGTCCTCTGGTGGCTTGAGTATTTCGGTTAGGGTGTACCCCATCCGGATTTCTCTGCCCATTTAGTCTTGCCGAAGCATTCTGGGTCAAAGTTTGCGCATTAGCATTCTGTTCCCCCATTCCAATATTCTTTGTGTTTGGGCCCAACATACTCCCAAGATTGGGCCTTACATTGTTTCTTGGGATTGTAGTAGATGTAGGATTGGCCATTCCTTAGTTCTCTACCTCAGTAACCCGATTTTGATGATCCGGGTTATGGTTTCCTTCTCGGCCATTAGCATCTCTGCCTGGGGCCTCTCTCACTCCAGACACTGCCATTCCTATCAAGCGTTGCTCCAATTCGTGCATCATCCTGGTATTCTCTAAAAATCTTGCTGCTGGAGTTTGTTACGATTCTCCATCTCCTCCATTCGCCGCAAAACTGCAGCAACCGCGATTTGAGCAAGTCTGGAATCTGGATCCACAGGTTGGGCAACGTGAGCAGCAACTGTATCCCCAAGATGTTGGGGAGGATTATTCAGAGCTGGAGCCGCAACTCGATCACGGGGTGCTGGGGTGGAGGCTGTGTCTGACACATCCTCACTGACATGAACATGATCATAATCTATTTCATTCTCAGGCTGGTTTTGAGGTTGATTCACCTCTTCCAAGACTAGATCCAGCGGCTGATTTTGAGAGTGTGGCTATTGGCTATTACTCCTTGTTCGGACTGCCATCTTTAGTCAAAATAGTGGGAATGTCAAATTCGAAGAAGAATTTCCCACAGACGGCGCCAATGTTCTGTCTTGGAGACAGAGATGTCCAGCCCAATAGGCTAGTTTGTTGATCTTGGATCAAGTGCCCTCTTCAAGGTATCTATGAAGGAAATACCTTTGAGTCAAGCAGATCACTGTGCACAACGAACTAATAACGACTTTTGCCAATTGGGTGTGTGTGCGTGCACAGTGACAACATAACAGTAAGAGAGAGAGCGTAACGTACCTTTAGGGTTTACCTTTTATTTATAGAGGTTACCTGTGAGTAGTATGATGTGGACCTTTAGTACCTCTGATGAGGGCCCAAGCCTGTCTGCTACGCTATCGTATTAGGATTAGTATCTTTGATGGATACTATCTGCAATTATACTTGATTTGAATCTTGAATTGCCCCTTATTGGGCATGTCATTCAGTGGACCCTTTATAAGTATCCATAACAGATATTTTCTTATTATGAACATATTTGGTATTATTATACATTTATAATTAAATTACATGTGATCCTAGATTATGGATAGGTCTTAGTGAGTTAACCTTAGGCAATAACATCATTTTCAACAGTGACACTAACACTCGAGGCATCCAATGATCCATCTTCATGCACTACCCTTCTACAAGAGCACTTTTCCTTTCGCCTTTTCTTTGGCCTGTGTTGGGTTTCCTCTTCTTCTTCATTGACAAAGGAAAGGAATGATCGAAGACCAGCAGAGCGTGATGAGCCTTCAAGGTTACCATTGTAGTGCCTGCTAAAGCGGTAGGCCATTCTAATAACATAACAAAGGAGAGCAATGAAGCATGCTATGCCAATCAAAAGGAACAGACCCCAAAAACTTTTTAGTTCAAGTCGGTCTATGCCTTCCTTTGCACCTTCTGAACTGCAAGCACTTCTTGTTAACCATTTGTCATGAATTCTCTGAAGGTCACCATTCTCTGATAGTTTTAAGATAGCAGTTGACATGTCAATAGCTAGTGGAGAGTCCCTTGGGAAGCCCTGTAACATTTAAAACATGTTCAAGCCATGTTAATGTTAACAATATGCTTGTCTTTAATCTTTATGAATAGTACTCTTTTAGATATATGTTTTAGACTTATTCAAAAACCTGTCATTAATTCTTTAAACACTGAATTTGGTATATGTGATGTTGAATATCATAGAGAAGAAATCGATGAAAAATGAACTTACAAAGCCCCATCCCATCTTGGTGAACTCTTGACCAACAATACCAAATTCACATCTGGTTGCTAGGAAGAGTTCCATGTATGCACGTTCATCTATTATTGCAGCAACACCACCATTACTTTGTCCATCATTCAAGGCCTTTTCATATTCTGATGGGGAGTTGAGAGGAACAAGCCTTGATCTGACTATGTTGAGCTCTTCAGTCAGATAATTTTCAGCAAATGAACCCCTCAGGTAACCAATACGGACGTTGCTTGTAACCAAGCTTTCAATTCCCTTCACTGGGGAAGAGAGTTGTTCCACTGTAAGGATGGATGTTAAGCTTGCAATATAGCTTGAGTTGAGTATCAAAACCACAAACAGCCATATGATTAGCACTAAGCGACCAAGGGTGCTCACAGTTTTCTCTCCTGCATAGAAAGGGTTTTCTGAGATGTTAAGAGTTAAATCTATAACACCATTCATCAGTCTGAACCTAACAGCTTTGAGATTTTAGGTTGATTAGTTACATTTATGGTATTAAGGTATGCAAATGGATCTTCTCATGTGACACGGGGTCAAGATATATATCAACGAGGATTGAAAAATGCATTAAAATTAAAGTTGAAAAAAAGATAACAGTTTTGTATTTAGATAGCTGAGATCTTCTCACAAGATCTCATATCATATAAAAAAATCATTTCCCATTTAAAAAAAAGAAATCACTATCCATTAAACCTCGACTAGCAAGAGTGAGATAAAAGCAATCCTTGTACGCAGCCTTACTCTTGCATAATTGCAAAAGGACTGTTTCTCGGATTCGAGTCCATGACTTTTGTAATGTCCCACATCGGTTGGAGAGGGTAACGAAGCATGCCTTAAATAAGGGTGTGGATACCTTTCCTTGTAGGAGGCCTTTTGGGGTAACCCAAAACGTAAAACCGTGAGCTCGACGGTGCTTGTGCGCGTGGAAAAGCGGACAATATTCTGCTACAGGGTTTGGGGCTGTTACATTTGGTATCAGAGCCTGGCCCTGGACCGGTGTGTACAACGGGGACGCTGTATTCCCAGTGGGGGAGGATGTAATGTCCCACATCGGTTGGAGAGAGGAACGAAGCATGCCTTAAATAAGGGTGTTGATACCTTTCCTTGTAGGAGGCCTTTTGGGGGTAACCCGAAACGTAAAACTGTGAGCTCGACGGTGCTTGTGCGCGGGGCAAAGCGGACAATATCCTGCTACAGGGTTTGGGGCTGTTACAACTTTCTAATCCATGTTCATAATTAAATAGAATTTCTTCACAAGGTGGAATGAGTTTGTGCGTTGTCCACTAATAAAGGTGCTAAGGACTAGTGCTATAAAATATATTAGATGCATAATAGCTTGAACATTTTAGGTTGACTGGTTCTTTGCATTTTGTTAGAATATGAATTTCCATTCACTACATTAGGAAAGCAGCAAGGACCACTAGCTAAAGGGAATTTTCAACCACTTACTATGTGCAAAAAATAGGGTTGAAAAGCTAAACCTGCAGAGATAAATGATTCAGATGTTAGCAATTGATAAAGTATGTAATGATCATGTAACAAGCCATTCAAAGAGATTAATTAAGACCATTTCTAAAAACTGTTTTGGCACTTAATTACCAGATAATTGTGACAAATTGTCTTCTAGCAGGGCCTCTAAAGTCATCATTTATGCGACGCTCTAAAACCCAAATAACAGCTCCCACAACTAAGAAAAACATTCCTGTTACAAACCACATCATTGGAGTAAATGGTGTCAGGAAAGCCCAAGCACTGGATTTCAACTTCTTAATTGGTGCCACAACCACTAGCCCAGACTCAATATATGGCTGTGTAAAATCCACTATCTTAGTGCGATTTGTGGTAATAGTAATGTCCCCAACCACAGCATCGAAGGCCTACATGTATGAAGGAATTCCAATGCAAGAAATTAGAACAAAACAAAGCAAGCTGGCAGAAAAAATGAAGCTATAGATCATTAAAACATAAAATACTTAAATACTCACACCAACTGTGATCATGTGGAGAAGTTGTGAATTTAGGGGGTTGGTTTTACCATCACCAAATGGAATAAACTTGTATGGAACTGGATAAGGCAACAAGTTCAGTGCAGTAGTAAACACATCTATGCAATAACCACCAAACATTTCAGTGCCCTCAATTCTTGACACAAATTCACGGTAACTAATTCTTAGTGGCACTCCAATTCTCAAGTGTCTTCCATTGTTGGCAAAAACCCAACCTCGAGGGGTTTGAGTTGTTTGACCAGGCCATATGACACCATATAGTCCTTCACTGGAATTTGAAAGATTAGGAGCTACCCCATTGTGGAGGCCAGAGGAATCAGACCAATAACCGATCCTCCTAATTCCAGTACCTATGACATTAATGATTTCATATGAGGGATGCAATATGTTACCATCTTGACCAAACACCATTTGGCCTGTTAAACCAGTTCTGTTGACCTTTAAAATTTCTTGAAGCAACATGCTACCATTAACAAAGACCCCCATAGTATCCAGATGAAGGGTATCCCCTCTTAACATGTTTAGACTTGAATCATTTGAAAATGACAAAGTTCCTCCACTGTTAAAAAATGCATCAAGTGCAGAAGCAAGAACCCAAACAGTGTCATAGGCATATAGACCAAAGGTGCTCAACCCAATAGGGCCCTGATCAGGGTCCTTTTTATGGGTCAGGTTGTTCCATTTAGAAATAAATTTTGTTTTGATTTGTGAATCTGGTGTATACGTGCGCAAGGTGATAACACCTTGGATGTAATTCATGGCTGGAGATGTGAATAAGGATGGGTTTGAATCTAGTATTGTAGAAAGCCAATCTGTTGCTATCCACACATAACCGCTTCCCATCATGCCAAGTGAATCAGCCGCATGAAGTACATCTAGACCAAAAGCAGTGAATATATGAAGGACTATTACCCTAGACTCCATTAAAGCTATCTTAACTAATGCATTGTTTATTTCTTCACTGGTAATATTATATGGCCTAAAGGTTACTTTATATGATATTTTACCACGTTTCTCTGCTAGCTTATCCCCTAATGCAGCTACCCCATTTCTTCCATGATCATCATCAATAAAAATTGCTATTACGTCTCTCCATTGAAAGTGGTCAACAATATCTGCCACAGCAGCCATCTGATACTCATCACTCTGTGTGGTCCTAACAAAATATGGGAACTGCAGTGAAGTCAGGGTAGGGTCTGTTGCTGCAAATGATAGTAGAGGTACTTGCATCTCATTTGCAATATGTGAAACCACATGAGCCATGACTGAGTACTGGGGACCAATTATAGCCACAGTATCATTCTCCATCAACAGGAGTGCTATAAAAGAAAAAGAAAAATCAACATGGTTTATTAGTGAGTGAGGAATATGTATATGAAGGAAAAGAGCAACGTGTGAAGTGGAAAAATGTAATGTTTTTGGCCATGACTCACAGTCAATGATTCCTAGAAATCCATTGGAGAATTTAGTATCCTGCATTGAAATATTAAGCTTAGTTCCATTAAGAATTGTTGCATTGGAATTTATATCATCCACTGCTGCTTCTATGGCAACTTTAGCCACTCTGCCAATGGTTGAATTGAAAGATAAAATTGCCCCAATGTTAACGGTGCTTGGTCTTGTAGAAACATCGCTGATTCCTTTTGAAGGAAAAGCCGTGTAGAAGATCACAAGGACAAGAAGACAAACTTTGCTCATGTTGTATTTTTCTGCAAACATAACAAGGGAAGAAAACAATTCCTAGTAACATGTCAGTGTATAGTTGTATATTGAAAAAAGAAAACTATAGAATAGAAAGGATAAGAAATATCCATGCTGATATGTAGTTCCAACGTAAAAATTTAAATTTGGACTCTAGTAACGTACTTTTCCTTGAATGAGACTAGAGGGAGATAAAAAGCTTCTAGTGAAATAGAAGAACACAAACGTGTCTCTTTATGCTTTCACTGAAACGGCTAGTTGTGGTTTATGCATGATATGCTTGCAATGTTTGAGATTATATGTCCAAGTGAAGAATGGCGTGAATCATTTTATAGCAAATGGGCGATGATGTGTTTGGTTTCCTTCGCCCTCAACAATGCAAGTGATTAGGTAAGTGGATAGTCACAAGTAAATTAAATATAAGCATAAATTTTATTAAAAATAAAATACAATAGACAAATATTTTATTATTACATTTATGGGAAAAGTGTTTCTCCTTTTAAATGACACAACTTATATCATTTCACTCTCACAAAAAGGTGGGACCCACATCTTTATATTTTTTTTGTCTACTCTCTCCTCTTTTATCTATTTATTTCTCCCACTTGAAATGACACAACTTTACATCCTTTAAAATAATATACACTTTTCCCTACGTTTATATATGAATTTATGTAAAATCAAGTAAATATCCTTTAGATAAATTTATAATGATTTTATCATTATCTGCTAAGCATACTTTCGTTTTGTGTTTATGATACCAAAAGTTAAACTTATTATGAAGAACATTGGGATATGTTTATCTCATTTTATATGAGATAAATAACTTTCCTATATACACAAAAATAAGTTAGGTCCCACCACTCTTTTTTTTCTCTCCTCTTACTTGTGGGTCCCACTTATACTTTTATTTCTACAACATGAGGTAACTTTTTTCCTATAACATAAGAAAAATATATCCCAAGAACATTAGTTGAGTATTGTGGATATGCCAATACTGTTGTGGATGAATTGACATATAAAGGAAGGGGAAAATATACTTTCACGTTATTGGAGAGTATTTTTTTTCCTACACATATATCAATTTTCATATTTTTTTTCCTAAATAGGTGGGTACCACACATAATTGTGTCTATAGTATAAGAGAATTTCTCTCCTATTGTATAATATTAATAAGGGTTCACTTTTTCGACGGTCAATGTAGATAAGTTATCTACATTGAGTCTAAAACGACATCGTTTTGAGATGAAAATCAAAGTATTTTTGTAATTATATGAAATAAATATGACATAAATTTATATATATATGAGATAAATTTATTTCTTATAATATGAAAAAAATATATTAAACTCATTAATTAAACACATGAAAGATAACTTAGATAACCGAAAATAAAGAAATAAAAATAACTTTTAATCGAACACAATTACGTAGCCGAATTCAACATATGGGAAATGAGTCCTTTTCGTTTTTCGGATATGATTATTGTGAACATAGCGCTTTTCTTTAAGAAAAGTGCAAAAGGAGAAAGGATGAAAATAGTAAAAGGGAGACAAGATGACAACAATTCCTGTTGTGTTTGTTTGATGCGTATAAAATATCTTTCTTGAGACAACAAAACTAGCTCTCCTTGCAAAAAACTTATATTTTCAATTTTACCTATAGTTTCAACTCAAATTCTGTGGATAATATCATAAAAAGAATGTGGTATGGACGCATAAGTTGGCTCTTTGACCCGAAAGAATTTTTTAAGGTTTTAATGTATCAGTCGTTTGATTTTCGGTATTTATCAACGAGGGCCATTGAGTATCATAGGAGAAATCTAGCGGCACTAAGTGCAGCGGCCCTCCTCCCGTGTCATTCATATGTTATTATTTTTTCCAATTGAGTGAAGCCCCCACCTCCCTCTGGCACTCACACGATTATGTCGAATGACACAATCTTGTCCTGTTACTGTAAAATTTCGAAAGGTCACGACTTTTGATTTCGCTATTCAAATTAGATGACTTTTATTTTTATTTCATATAAGTTTTTGAGATCTACGCAATGACACCTCATTTGACATATTTTATCTTCTCTAAACATAGTTCAAATTTGCAATAATAGTTTCACATTTTTACAAATTTAAACTATGTTTGTAAGAGATAAAATATGTCAAATGAGGTGTTATTGTGTAGATATCAAAAAATTATAAGAAATAAAAAATATCTAATTTGAATACTTGAGTCAAAAGTTATAGCATTTCAAAAATTTATCGTAAACTAATGAGATTGTACCACTTGACACAATTCTATAAGTGTCGTAAGGGTAAGAGTAATTCAATTGAAAAAAAATGAGTGACACAGAGAAGGATCGCGACACTTAGTGTCGTAGGTCCCCTGCAATATTAAATGACTCCCATTAATAAATACTATAAATCAAATATCAGATTGAAAAATTAAAGGGTTCAAATAGAGCGCAAATGGGTCAACGAGGCGTATATTGCATTCTACGTCACCGTCAAAATGAAATGTTATTGTATTCGCACGTTTATTAGTGGGCACTGTGTCACAGCCAAAGAAACAGTAGCATTCACAATGGTGGTTGACGTTGACGCAATATATACGATAATAGAAAAGAGGATTTGGTTACCTTCAATAGTATCATTTCTTATTATAATTTCTTAAACTTTATTTACTTATTTAATACAAGAAGGACGAAAATTAACCCTCATTTCATTGGATAAAATCAAACATATTAATAGAATGATGTCATTCCGTCATTTTTCAAATTAAATTCTTAGTAAATATAGTTAAAGAAAGTTGTTTTTATTTATTACTTTTCATTTTCATTTTTTAAAGATTTGATGGAATTATTTTGATACAAACATTAAGGCCAGTGCTAACGTCGAGTCGAGATTGATACCTCGGAATTAAATGTTATTTTTGAATCTGTAAACTAGTTGTGTTTAAGGAGGAGACAACCCTAGGTAATGACATATTACTGTGTACATATGAAAGACAAGAAGTCAAAGAAAATGTGTGTGAGCACACACCGACAACATTTAAGAATTAGTGTTCCAGCTATCATATTTGAGAGGTTAGACCATTTTTTTTTTTCCGTTAACAAGAGGTTAAACCCTTTATTTATAGAGGGGTTCTTATTTAAAGGTAGGCTAGACCCAATTTATTTAGCCAGAGATGGGGCCCAAAACATGGGACCATAATAGTTGCCGGGGTTTGCATTCATTATTTAACATACCACAACAAGTTTTCTATATATACAACATTTTGTGAGGTCTGTATTTTTTAAAGCAATAAAAAAAAACTCTGGCACGCAAAACGAATCTCTATAACATAACACAATCACTTTTCCTACAACGTAACTCTTATAAAACCCATAGATGCCCCCTAATTTGGTAGTCCAAGAGTTTAGGTTGTCAGGCTGAAGTGTCTGGCCATTTTGTTCGAGGTGCCTATGAGGGGTCGAGCTCTTGTGATATACACCTGGCTTCTCTAGGTCGACTTCCTGGTTGTGTTAGCTGTAATAATGTTGTACTGTGGCACCGTCAATTGGAGGTAGGCATGGCCACGAGTGAAGTCAGCCTTTTGCTTTGTCGGCAACCCCGCCCTCGGTGTCGAGTTACTTGGTCGATACCGCATCCTAGGGATGGCCTACACTATGAAAAGAATAGTGTGCCATCTTCAAGGTTGGGCAATTGAGCTGCACCTATCTCCTTATTCGATGATGCAAATAGTTTTTTTTTTGGGGAGGGAAAAGAAGTTATAGTTGCTTGTTACTGTCTTAGGTGTGGACAATGCCTTTAGGTGTTCCTCACTTTATTGGCATCTAAGCATGTTGTGGGTCATGTTTCTACCCTGGCGAGTTGTTGTCGTTCTCAAACTAAGCCATCTAGTGGTTCAGACGACTCGGGTGATTTTTCTTCCTCTATATCTAACTTTTACTTTGTTTATCATAGGTACTCGGGCATGGCTAGGACATAGGCACTCGTGAAGGGAAACCTTCCTTCTAACATTGACCGTTATAGTTAGGTGGCAGAGGAAGTCCTCAAATGTCGTTCTATCGTGAGGATGGAAGAGCTGGCTTGGTTGTCATTATCTGATGTGATATTTTAGTAGTGCGATTTGGTGGTCGTTGTCCTTTTTGCGGATGAACATGTATGTTCAGCTCATCCCAAAGATGTTGTCCTTACTCTTTATTTCTTTATGTACAAGACATTCTTTTCATAGCTAGAGATTCAGCTTCCCTTCAATGAGTTCCAGACATGTGTAATGAAGTTCCTTTCACTTGCTCCTACTTAAATTTATCCAAATTTGTGAGCATATTTTGCCTTTGAGCTGGTTTGCGACCATCTAGAGTTTACATGCTCGAGGTTCGTATTTCTAAATTTATTCAACGTGGTGACACCTAGGTGTAGGTCCGATTCTCTCGGCAAGAAAGGCTGGGTTACCTTTAGTAGGTTGTCGACCACAGCCTCTTCATTCTCTACTCTGACTCGTATAAGGGCTTCAAGATGAAGTACTTCAAAGTGTTGGCATTTCCTAAGGACAAGAAAGCTCTATTTCCTCCCTTAACCTTTTTTGTGAGTGAGGAGGGGTCCATTTCTTTTACATATATTTCAGCTTGTCCCACTATTATAGATGTAACAGCCTGTTACGTACCGGCAATGTTATCATTGTATATGGTATTAAACGCAGTTACAATTACAGTAATTGAGTTAATTAAATTACGGGTAAACTTTTTCTTTTATTGCATCATTGTTTTTAAACATTAAACATTTTCATAATCAATTAAAAACAACACCGTAATTGTAAATGCGAGACATGCATAAGCATAAAACATATTTCTTATAACCCCTCAAAGCAATACCATTAATTCTAGGTTGTAAAATGACATATTTTCAAAATTTGTACAGTGGGAACCAATTCCAAACTTCAAGGAATCGATCCCCAGCAGCTACAGTAACAGACAATAGCTTAAATTTAGCTCCCCTGTTT